CAAAGTCTCCAAAGCACAATGAACATACAATTTATTATATTTAATAGTCAGCAAAGGAGGACATTGGCGCTTTGAACACTGAAATCCCAAACAGAGAAACTGAAACAAATCACTTCATCTGGAAACCAAACAAACAACTACATGAAGGAACACCAAAAAGGAAACTGAACAGTTAGTTGTGCTCATCAGCCTTTACTAGCAGTGAAAGTAACACCTTATTTCATTTCCTAAGACTTACTTGTTATCACCTGACAACAAAAACATAGTCTATTAGTTTACAAATGAAAAGCGACATACCATCAAAGTGATATTCCAGGAGAAAAATACTGGGAACTGAATTATCAGCCATTCTCAGCACAAGATCCACAGATCCTAAGAATCTCAATGGGGCTGTGGATGCCCAGCCTGCAGGAAACCAAGTCATTAAAGGCTCCTTTTATTACAAAGCCCTGACAAAAACCACATGTACTCTTGGGGAGCTCGTGAGAGAATCAGAGCAAGTTGGAAGAGCCATGCTAAGCTTTTCTTGTTATTAAAAAAAAAAAAAAAGCCACAGCAAGACCCAGCAGCTAATGCCAGCTCTGATTTAATGAGAGTTTTGCAAAAACACATCCAGCACCATATTACAGGGTTGCATTACAAACCAGCAGGCACAACCTGATGTCTACAACTACCTCCTTTAGATGGGAAGAAAACCTCAGAAAGGTGCTGTGTGCAGGCACCCACCATCACAGCTTGTAACAGCCAAAACACAATCTGGAAGTGAGAGACTCTTTGACTGCTCTGACTACAAGGGGTAGGCACCAATGCTACTAACTGCTCAGTCATGAGATGCTTGTTTAACCCCCCCGTGCAAGCCGTGCATAGCCCTAATGTATTAGTCCAATTGTGAGCAACAAATCTGACTACTTAATATGCAAACTCCCTTGGTCAGTCTTCCATAGAAGCTCCATGAAAGCAGTTATTGTAACTTCAAATTAGACATGTGATAAGCAGCACTGCACAGCACTCTAAAGAAAATATTTAAGAAACTGTTGTCCAGTTACCAAAAGCAGAGGTTGAGTACATAACTTGGCTTTGTAGAAGTTACCAAAGCTCCAGCACTGCATCAAATACTGCAGGAGGAATTTAAAGTTTTAATAATCTCCTATTCCAGCATGTCAGTCAAATGTGCAGCCCTATTTCCACTTGTCCCCATTATCACCGCTGGGTGAGAGGGGCAGCAGTAAAGAAGACAAATTTCAAACAGAATCAGCATCTTTTATAACAAAGAAGGGCGATAAGAACTCCAGCAGGCAGGCGAACATCATGTCAGGGAGAGTGCAGCAGCAATCAGACAGCTGCAGCCAAAAGCCTTAATGTGTAATGACTTGTCATGCCCATACTTCTAGACACTGGATTTCCTGCCCTTTTGTTACTCCACACAAATAACTGTCTCACTGAACTTTACCAAGACAAAGTAATATGCAACTTCTAACAGGGGTAAGAGTTTGCCAGAAGAAAATGAATGGGTTCATGTTTCTCCTTTTCCTTTGTACTGCTCCCCTCCAAGGAAACAAAAGAAGTATGATTCCTCCAGAAAGGACTTCCCCGTAGGGATAGCAAGTTGAAAATCCAAGTTCTCCTGGTTTTGCTAAATTGAACATACCTGGTAAGCTATTAAACCTTATGTAAATGAACAAGTGCAGAGCTTTCCAGCAGTTTACTCCAAACCTAGTGCTTTTCCAAAGAGCAAACACACCTGAAGAAGTCGTGTAACATGTAAGTGGCCAGAGAACAACTACTTCTCTGCCAGCCTCACCATCCTGCAGAAAAGTCTCCTTTGACTAGGCACAGCAAGAAGAGGTATGGTGGTCAGCTTCTAAAAGTTTGGAATATCAGATGGCAGACAGCCGAGCTAAAGAGATGAGGGGAGGAAACCATGTGTCTATAAATCACCTAGCAATCATCTTTTATTCTTCCTTGTATCTCCTTTAATCCATCTCACCAGCCAGGATACCCACCCACCCACCACAACATACTCTGATGGTACCAAGTAACAAGACAGGAACTTTTTCCTCAATACAACAAGCAACATTCCACTGAAACAAAAACCTGCTAAAAAGAGCAGTGATAATGAAACAGCTGGTACCAATCTGCAAAGACCATTTAATTTCCAGCAGGATGGGCAGAGCAGCATCTGTTTAATTCTGGGTAAGAAACAGATGACTCCTGCTTCGGTCAATGCAAACAGAAACCCGCAATAAGCTGCTACACCCATAGGAGAGCTGGTATTTTTTATTAACTCAGTTTTACAGAGACAACCATGAGTATAGGCAACAGCTCTCTGGATACATGCAAGCATCCTGACCTTGACACATACCAATAGTTAGAACACAAAGGACACGCAGGAGGTCAGGGCACACTGTCAGCTTTGCTGAGCAGCAGAGAAGTATCGGGAAGCGTCAGTGATTGACAAACGGACCAAGGAGAATACCAGGATGTGACAAATCCTCCTCTTGACTCCAGTGATACAATTGAGCAGGATTTCATCAGTCCCCAGAGCACCGTAACAGACTGAGATCTGTATGAATTTGACTTGAGATCCAGCTCCCACTTTCACACAGCATCAAGCACTGCTATTGTCATCTAATCAGCCTCTTGACCACTCCTAATTCTCCATGAAACTTTTCCATTCTGGGGGAAAGAAAAAGCTTCCCCAAAATAAGTCCATCGCTGGCACTGCTCTGATTAGAACAGAGACTTTTGTTCCAAAACACCTTCCTGAGATTTATAAATGGTCTGGCCCTGCTCACTGACAGCAATCTGAAGGTGAATACACCAGACTAGGTCACAGCCCAGGAGCTGGAGGAAATGAGCCTTATATGGGAAACAGGATTAAATCACCTTTCTGTACAGTCTCCAAATCATGTTCACTTGTGCTTCAGCTGGTTCACTTGCTGATGCTTCAAGACATAAGCTCCCTTGAGAGAGTAAGTCAGATTTCATACTTGGCATGGGCACACATGCAGAATTTGTAAAGCTAAGAATTAGTGCAGACTGGACTTGGCTATCTCAGCAGTCAGATTTATAAAAGATATTCTGAGGTTCTTCCAGCTTAACCCACACCCCCTTTTTTTCAGATACATAACGTCACAAAACAGGCTACTGCACACTGTACCTGACTGTTTAAGACAGTCCTAAGAAGCCCATAATTCAACTGAAATTTCATCACTTCTCACTTCAGCAAGACAACCTTAAGGAACATTATCCTTAGAGCATGAATCAACATGAGCCAGCTGACATACATTTCACATCTATTGCATCTTGAAAAACCAGGCTGCTGTTCTAATGCACCAAGCACAATAGACTATTTAACCCCAAAGCAGCAGCAGTGTGTCATGCCATGCAAACACCAAGCAGGAATGTGCTCCCACTAAGTCCATCCAGGATGGTACTCTGCCGACAACTTGGACGGAGACAGCCCACCTCATGCACTGCTACTGGGTGTGCAATAAGGCTATTTTACAGTATCAGCCAAACTCTGCTATTTCCTATCTCATTCATTCAATATCACAGGCAAGATAAGAGTGAGGAAATTAAACTGAGGCTATTTCTGTGACATGATCTCATCTCATAACACCTAGCTAGTGACACAGGTCTTACAACAAACAGCATAGCTTTTAATGCTATTTTTTGATCAAGATTTTTTAAGAATGTGAAGATTTCTGTTATTCTTTTTCCTTGCCTTCTAGTTTGGTGTGGTCCTTTCTGCACTGACACCCCTGCATTTTTTACTGGTTTTAGGTAAGTCTGCTTAGTACAGATGCTTTCTAGGTAACTCACTTCTTCCTTTTATTTTTTATAATAGAGGAAAAGATAAAGACTAACAATCGCCAAAGTTATAGAATTATTTTTAATGACAATGATGTGATTAAATCCTACACAGTTCTTAGCAGCTGGACACTGGCGTCTCTATGAACTATGTATCCAGCATTAGTCAGCAGGGGGTCACTTCAGATATAATTATAAGCAGTGTTTGTCTTTTTTTTACAGTATGGAACAACAACAAAGTCACTGGTATAAAAGAATACCCATCAGCTGGGGCGTCCATAATAAAGCCAGAATCATAACGTTCCATAAGGCACAGGGGAAAATGTAGTCCTTGATGAGCAATTCTCAACCTGAAATCTGTGGCCCCTGCATGTGTAAGGACTACTTGTAAGTCAAATGTCCTGTGGGTAGGCTGACTTTAAGTGACAATAATACACACACAGCTCAGCTGGAGAACATCAGGGGTCCGCAAACCCAAGAACGCTAGGAAAGCAATCACTTACGCATTTAGGTAGAGGAAAACAGAAGGGTAAGGGCCGCTTGCACTGCAGCAGCGTTTCCACATAAGCCCACTAAGTAGGTGTGCTCTTGCACACAAGTGAGAACATGCTGCTCCAGCATCTGAAGTCGCTGGAAATCGATTACTTAGCATGGGCGATTTAGGCTGGCAGAAAGAATCCATCTTTCTTAGAATAAGAATAAAAATAAACCCCAACCCCGCAGCAGTGCCAGGATCTAAGTTATCTGAAGAATTATTTTCTGCACACCACAAGGAGACGAGCCCAAGGACAACAAAGTTTAGCAGCCCCAGGCAGGCCCTTTCCCCAGCCCATCCATCATTTCATCAGCCGCCTGCCCCCGGGCCGCGCCGGGGCCTGGCCGCGGAGCCCCCCCACACCCGGCGCTGCATCCGCCGGGGCTGCGCCCACCCTGCGCCCCGCCGAGCTCCCGCACACCGCCGCCGCCCCGGGAAAGTTACGGCCCCGGCGGCCGCGCTGGGCAGAGGGTGGGAACCGGGCGCGGCGCCCCGAGGCCGGCGAGCGCAGCGCGGCTCCCCCGCCTGACACCAGCCCCGGGCCCGTCCCCACCGCAGGCCCCGGCCCGCAGCGCCCGCCCCGGGGTCCCCCCGCAAAGCCGAGGGGGGCTCACCCGACCTCCCCCGCCCAGCCCCGGGGCCCGGCGCTCACCTCCGGTGCCGTCCGAGTTCTCGTTAAGGCTGCCCGAGGAGTCGTGATGGGAACCCACACACCCGCCCATGGGGCCCGCCCGGCCCGCAGACCCGCCGCCGAGCCGCCCCCCCACCCCCCTCCCCCTGTAGCCGAGCTCCGCCGCCGGCCGGGCAGGCGCGATGGCTCCGGAGCCGCCTCTTCGGTCTGCAACACCGCCCCCGAGGCGCGTCCTCCTCCCGCCGCCCGGCTCCGCCTCCGGCCCGCCGGGGCCCGCCCCGGCCTCGGGTGTGCGACCCGGTCCCGGCCCCGGTCTGGGCCCGAGCCGGGTGGAGACGGCAGCAACCTCGCCTGGGTTTGTGCTGCTGCAGCGCGCAGGCCGGGACGGGCCTGGCTGCGGCCCGGTGCCGCCAAGCCCGAGGCCGCCCCTAGCCTGCCGGGTGGCGGCCGCCCCACGGGGCCGGGCGAAGCCGCGGTGGAAGTTGGCGGGCGGCCCTGGGGCGCTGTGACCGGTCCCGCCGCAGGGACTGGGCTGGGCTGGGTCGGGTCCGGCCGCGGTCCCCAGCGCAGCGTGGGCGAGGGAGTAGGTCGCGGGCGGCGGGCTTTGTGTGTGGGATGCGGGGCCAGCCCTCCCCGCTGCGGGGCCAGCTGCGCCGCAGCTGCTAGGCTTGGGGTGCAGGGGTCGGGCGAGCCGGGTCCACCTGGCTCTTATAGCGAGATGGGTTTGGTTTTTCTTACGGTGGAGACCGGGGTTTCCCGTGCTGTGTATGTCTGCACATGAAAGTACACGCACATTCCGAGTTAAATCTGTGCCCCATTAATCATACAGCTACATCTGTCCATACTGCCCGTTTAAATGATGATAAAACTAAGCAAAATGAGTGCTGCTTGGTCAATCAATGCCTTGGGTGATATGGTTTAGAGCGAGGTGTCCCTGCCCATGGCAGGGGGGCTGGAACTTGATGATCTTAAGGCCCTTTCCAACCCTAACTATTCTATGATTCTGTGATTCTACCTTTTGAGAAGTTTGACTTACATGCACCTAATGCCTAAAGGGGTTATCTTACTTCAGTAGCAATCTTGCCATGGGTTCAGGGAGTCACAGCTCCTACACTCCACAGATGCGCTGTAGCTCTTTGAAACAAGCACCAAAAAGTCCGAACATTGAAAAATGGAAGCAGACAGTATAAAAAATAAAGCATGGTAACAGACTGTGCTCCGGGTTCCCCACATGCTCTGCTATACATGGCAGCTTAATGTTCTGATACACAAAACAGCAGAAAACAAAACACAAGCTGAGCATATTTTACCTCCTTAAAGATGACATCGCAACTGTATTTAGAGTTAAAATAGCATAGCTGTTTGTGGAGCTCGCAGTCACTACAGTGAGAGGAGTGGACGGACGAATCTGGTGTTCTATCATTAATTTTCCCACATAATGTTCATACCAAAAGACCAGCCGGCCTTTGGGAAGGCACTTGTGTTGATAATTAAAATCCCAAATGTATGAGAGAAGCTGAGTGGCAAATGCCGAGCACTTCATCATCTGAGAGCAAAATGACTTAGCACTTTATGGGCGGCTTTATGGGCTCAAATAAGAAGGTCAGGACCGGTAAGAAAACGAAGGGAAGGATCACTGGAGTCTGAACATGTGCACACTTATGTCAAGAAAAGCAACAAATTCTTGTCTGTGCAGACATTAAACCAAATAAAGGAAACACAGAGCTCAGTTGTTCTATTTTTTGTCACAGATTGTATTGGAGAGCCTGAACATACACAGGTACAAAGGTACATCAGGGGTATTTGGGTTTTTTACTTTGGATCAAATGTAATTTGTTCAAAATTGTAGGGATACAGAAGAAAGTTAAGGATGTTTCAAATTGTTGTGAGAGTAGGTGTTGATGTGGTATATTGTCATCAGAGCATGATAATTCTGTGGGGAAAGCATGACTTTTGTTGTTCTCATGCACACATTGTGTGTAAGTTATATGTATTTGTGTGTGTATAAACACTTGAGATGAACCTAAGTCAGTGTTTACAGCCTGATCCCATGTGCCAGGATGTACTTGCAATGCAGCACTGAAGTACAGGAGACAAACCAAGCCTTTTCTAAATGCATTATTTAGTTTGAAGATTATGTTCCTTCTCAAACTAATTTTCACAAGAGGCAAGGACTGAGCTTTGCAGTTTCCACATTCTAATCTTGGCTTTGCCCTAGATACCCACTGTGGCCTTGGACAAGTCCCATAACCTCGGCAGCTCTATTTCTATCAGTAGATTAATGTTTGTCTACATATCTCTTGGGGATGTGGCTCAGATTAATTAATTCTTACTCTTTATTACTTGTTAACTGCCTGCAATGTGTGGGATGTAAAACACTTTGAAGATCAGACGTGTCATTTCACAAATTAAGTGGTGCAATGAATTGACTATTCCATATAGGTACAGCTACCCTATAAGATTCAAAGTTATTCTTTGTGGGTCATAAACCCTACAGTGCCAACAGCTAAAGGATCTTCTTTTGGCACAAGATGCTACTGGACTGTATGTTGTAGCAGGAGGGCCAGAGCAATGGGGTTTGTGGGCAAGGAGTGCAGTATGTAAAAAAGCCCTAAGTGGACCTACATATGCGTTGTGAGGGTAATTTGCCATATATTCCTATACATGAAAATATTTTGTGTACTTCATCAGTACACAGGACTCTCCAACTGGGATCTCACTGTTTGCTCACAGTCAATGGTGGTGAGTTTTGCCATCACATGATGATACAGAATGACAAATCCCTGTTCTCTGATGATTCAGCTTTGCGTGGGAACAAGAATGAGATGCTGAAATTGCATCAGTACTGAAACTTCTGTCTCAGGCATCAACATTTTGATTTTTATCAGTCCCACCCAGGACTGTAGTATCAAAGTCTTATCATTATAAGTGAAAGTCTACCCAGATCTCTCTCATCCTGCTTTGACAGATAGGAAAGGGAGACACAAGAGATGAGGTTATTTGCTAGAGGTCCCGCAGGAAGCTGAAGCAGGAAAGAACCGTGGGGTCCAACCACCATGTGCCAAGCCCATCTTCCTCTGTCTGAAGAAGTTTAGCGGGTTGCTGTTTTCAAATTTACTTCCACATGGCTTTCTGGAAGTTAATGAAGCTGTAGCCTCATTTTCACAGGCTACATGATGGAGGTTTCCTTGCTCCCGTATGATGCACAGCACCTATATTTAAATGTGCTTTTGAGGAATGCTGGCTTCCATTCCAAAATTCCCACCAGCGAGTTTTAGGCTGACTCCAAGCTAATATAATCTGTCCCTTAGAAAGCCGTAGCAAAGCAACTCTTATCAGTCTGCACCACCTAGAGACCACAAAGCTGTGCCAAAATGATGTTAAACCAGACAGTTTGTTTTCCTGGAATGACCAAGGGAAAGAAATGTACTGCACAGGGGGTTCCTTGTGGTTGAGGAACCCAGTCAGACATCAGGACATCCAGAGCTGGCCAAGTATAAACAGAATGCACGTCTGCCTAGTCCTGCTTGTGTCCCCTCTGTGCCCTCTGGTAGTGCATGTCCTCAGCACATCTCCAGGAGCACAAACACGTTGCTCCAAAAGCCTTGGCACACACTTCTGCTCCTGAAAATGCTGGGATGGGAAGTTTGATCTTCTGAGGGGAATTTCATCGATCGGAATGTGTATTCCTGTGAAGAGCAGGTTACGTTTCTCTTCTGACCTCTGAAGAGCCCCATGCCCGCTCCTGTGGACTCCTTTGTCAGGCTCTTTATGTCTTCTCTGTTAATAACAGAGGCATGGTGATGCTTCAGTTTTCTTTTACACATTTCTGCAAAGCTGTGTGGTTTCTATCCTCAATTGCTGTAGAAAAGGGGTTACTGGAAACGCTAAAAATCCTGATTTAATACACAGCATCAGAGATGACGGTAAGAATCTCCAAGTATAGTAGATTCTACAGCAGGATTCCACAAAATCCCCCCAAATACTGCTTGCTGCCAGTTTCACTTTGCAGGAGTCCCAGATGCTCAGAGTGCACCAGTGTGTGGAGGACTCATTTTTCATCGAGCATTTCCGCACTGATGTTATTTTACAGGGACAGGAGAAATATTTTGCTTTTTAGCCTGTAAACCTTGAAAATGGATAAATGAATCAGTCCAGAGTTTAATCAGATTATTTTGCACTTCGCTCACATCTTTAAAACCAGAACTTTGTGAAGTTATGTTTCTCAAACACTGAGTTTCTGTGGGAAAAGAGTTGTTTTAATGTCAGGCTGCAGGTGTATAAGCAATTCCACTACAAGTTCAATTTCTTGTCTGGACTGGAAATCAAGAATCCACAAATTCATTTTTTAACTGTGTAGAGGGACCATGTATTTTAAAGTATTAACTGTTGGCCAGCAGGTACCATTGTGACAGACACACATGAAGGCAGCTGGCAAGTGAGCTGTCGACTTTCATTTTCTGTTTCATGACAGCTTTATTGCTGCTTCTCCTTTAAACATGCTTCCCATTTTTCATCAATTCTGAATTCTGCAAGCTGTTCTGAAAGCAGGGGATTTTTAACCTACTGTCTCAAACAGCTCCTGTCTACTTAAATTCTCTGAATAAGAGATATTTATTGCTTTGACACATCAGGGAGGTTTTTCTAATGGTCAAAATACACATTTAAACCGACAACAAAAAAATAGTCTTGACTATTAAATAACAAAAGTGAAACACTGCTTCCCTCCTGTGGTGACCTCCCTGATTGCACACTGAAACTGAACAGACGAAATAAATTGCACATTTTAAGTAATATTTTTATTATTATTATTATTCTGATGACATTTGAAGAGTAACGCTTTCTTGCTGATCTGCAGCCAAGCAGTCATTCACGTCCCGCTGTTATTGTTACAGCACTGGATTTAATATGCTATTTCAAAGCCAAATGGTGCTGTTGAAGCACAGGAAGTGCCAGCTCTTGCTAATCGGCTGCCATAGAACTTTATCTCATTACAATCTGCTGTTTGTGGACACGTTCTCCTCTTTCAGCTGCACTTGAATTGATTCTCTGCCTGGGTGGGTGCAGAAGTGTTATGTGTCAGTGTGCTAAATAATGAAGAGGATTAGTGGCAGCGGGACAAAGGGAGGAGATATGCATGAGGGCCCCAAGCCTACCTGCAAACTGTTTTACAGGCTGATGGATCACTGAGCCTG